AAGAGATGGTTCTTTAAAGAACCTTTGACTGAATGGTTCTTTGTGGAACCAAAAATGGTTCTTCTATGACATCGCTTGAAGAACCTTTTGAAGCACCTTTATTTTTAAGAGTGTATAGCTAGTCATATATTCATATTGAATAACGTCATATTAATATTATCGTCATTGCTCGGTAAAGCACCGTTATGTCGTGTTACAAGTGCTTTTTGTAGTTTTTCTCCACTTTGTTGATGTTTTATGAGGGAAGTAATGCTCGGGAATGATAAAAATGGCGATTTTGAGGCCTGGGAAGGCATAGAAATAAAAAAAAATTATTTAAAGTGACATTTATTTTATAGTAGCCTACATGCATTTTAATCGTTATGCTGTAAAATGTTTAGTCGTATAGTATTTTATTTATTTATTTATTTATTTATTTATACCGGGCTAAGAGCATCAACACTTCAGAGTTCACTGAATGAAAATCTTGCAATATGTAGACAATTTAAATATATATATTGTTAAATATATAAATATATAGACACCACATCATATACTTGGAGATAATTAAATTACAGAAGTGCATTAAATGCACTTGTGCTCCTCATTTAAAACATTTATGAGCAGCTATATATATTTTCAGACTTTGTTGTATGTAAGTTACTTAATATTAACTTAATATTAAAACCTTATTTGAAAAATAGCTTGAAAATAAATATGCATACATGTATATTAGAGCTGCAAGATTCTGGATAAATTGAGAATACATTTTTTTTGTCAAATATATATATATAATGAATAAATGTATATAATTATAATTTTTTTTTTTTTGTAATTTAATTTAATTTTAATTTTTTTTTTCACAGAACTGAGATCAGTCATGGCACAAAACAAAAGCGGCTACACTCGCTTGGAAAACCCCCCTCAGTTCAGCAGCGTGAATCCGCCGCCGCCGCCGCCGCCGCCGCCTTATAATGCTGGCGTTCCCGTCGTCGTCAGACCCGCTCCACCCACCGCTTTTGGGAATCACAGGGAGGCTCCGGATATCCTCAGCATCCCTATCCTACAGCAGCTCCTGACTTCACCGAAGCGTACCGCGGTGGACCGTACAAACAGCCGCTTTCTTACGGTGAGACATTCAGCCTCACATGTGGCAGGTTTGACCTATGCTCTTTGTTACGGCGGTAAAGTTAGTTTGACGTTTGACATTCATTAGACATTCGGGTTTTTTGCCAATTAAACTCTTTGCAGCTTTTATGTTTTGAGCCCAAACTAACTCAGATAGACATAAATATATGCCCTTTATGTTGCACAAGGCTTAATTTCTAGGAATTAAAAAAAAATAAATTAACCATTTAAATGAATTAAATTAATTCATTTAAATGGTTAATTTATTTTTTTTTAATTCCTAGAAATTAAGTCTTGTGCAACGTAAAGGGCATATATTTATGTCTATCTGAGTTCGTTTGGGCTCAAAACATAAAAGCCGCAAAGAGTTTAATTGGCAAAAAACCCGAATGTCTAATGGATGTCAAACGTCAAACTAACTTTACCGCCGTCTCTTTGTTAATAAGCTCGAAACTAAGTTTTGTTTTGTGAAAGAAGAGGATAAACCGGGACACAGCGATCCTCCTCCAGAATATGAGAACAAGCAGTTCATCGGCTCTGGACTCGATAATGAAGCCATCAGAAGACTGTTCATTCAGAAGGTAAACACTGATGCAGAGCAAACCAGTAAAAGATTCAACTGATTCTTAACAAGCATCAAGTTCATCGGAAAGCATCATGTTTACGTGCATATTTTGATTAGAAAATTCGATTTTTTTAAATGTTAATTAAAGTTGTAGTTGTTTTGTTAGACGTTTTTACCATTTTTATCATTTAAAAAAAATGTCTGAATAGGTTTTATTTTTTTTTATGAATTTGTAGTTTTATTTTGATATTTTTCATTTAAATTTTTAGTTTGTTTTAGTAATGTTTTTAGGCATTTGTCGTTTTTATTTTTTTATTTATGTCTGTGTAGCTATTATTCATTTTTATTTCATTTTTATTGTTAGTTATTTTAGTACATCAAGTTAAGCTAAATGAAAATGAGAAATATTTTTATTAGTTTCCATTTTAATTTTAGTTAAAGTTTTAGTAATATTTTTAGGTATTTTTGTCATTTTATTTGTCTTTTTTTAATATGTCTGTGTAGTTTTTATTAAAAGTTTTATTAAAAGTTTTAGTTTTAGTACGTCAAGTTTAGCTAAATGAAAATTAGAAATGTTTGAATTATTATTCTTTTTTTTTCATTTTAATTTTAGTTGAGGTTTTATTAATATTTTTTGGCACATTTGTCATTTTTATTAGTTTTCTTTTTAAACACGTCTGTGTAGTTTTTATTTATTTTTATTCCAGTTTTAGTTTTAGTTATTTTAGTACATCAAGTTAAACTAAATCAAAATGAGAAACGTTTGAATATTTTTAGATTTTTTTATTTAGATTTTTTATTTTAATTTTAAATTAAAGTCTTAGTAATTTTTTTAGATATCTTTGTCATTTTATTAGTCTTTTTTTAATGTCTATGTAGTTTTTATTCATTTTTATTTCAGTTTTTAGTTTTAGTTTTAAGTACATCAAGTTTAGCTAAATGAAAATTAGAAATGCTTGAATTATAAAAATTTTGTCTTTTTTCATTTAAATTTTAGTGGAGGTTTTATTAGTTTTCTTTTTAAACACGTCTGTGTAGTTTTTATTTATTTTTATTTCAGTTTTAGTTTTAGTTATTTTAGCACATCAAGTTAAGCTAAATCAAAATGAGAAACGTTTGAATATTTGTAGATTTTTTAATTCTAATTTTAATTAAAGTTTTAGTAATATTTTTAGATATTTTTGTAATTTTATTAGTCTTTTTTTAATATGTTCATGTAGTTTTTATTCATTTTTATTTCAGTTTTTAGTTTTAGTTTTAAGTACATCAAGTTTACCTAAATGAAAATTAGAAATGATTGAATTATTATTATTTTTTTCATTTTAATTTTATTTGGAGTTTTATTAATATTTTCAGGCGTATTTGTCATTTTTATTAGTTTTCTTTTTAAACACGTCTGTGTATTTTTTATTTATTTTTATTCCAGTTTTAGTTTTAGTTATTTTAGCACATCAAGTTAAGCTAAATCAAAATGAGAAAAGTTTGAATATTTTTAGATTTTTTTAAATTTTAAATTTTGTATGTTTATGTCATTTTTATTAGTTTTTTTATGTCTAAATAGTTTTTATTATTTTTTATTTTAGTTTTAGTTATTTTAAAATAAGGTTTATATATATATATATATATATAAAGAAACAGTTTTTCGTTCTAGTAGTTGTAGTGAATTCTTATAGCGCTGGTTTGAGACCCAGCAGTGAATTTTGATGTAGTTGTGTTTGGGTGCTGCAGGTGTTTTCGGTCTTGAGTCTTCAGCTGGCAGTGACCTGCGGCTTCGTGGCCGTCTTCACCTTCGAGCCTCACGTCAAGCTGTTCGTGATGCAGAATGCCTGGACTTACTGGGTCGGCTATGTTGTCTTCCTAGTGCCCTACGTAGTGATCCTGTGCTGCGGAGAGTTTCGCAGGACGCATCCGTGGAACCTCGTTTCTCTGGTGAATCTTTCATTTTAGCATCTTTAAATGTAAAGCGTTTTGAATGCTCCGTTCCTGTGTTGTGACGCGCGGTTTCTTGCGTCTCAGAGTATCCTGACGCTAGCGATGTCTTATATGGTGGGCGTGATCTCCAGCTTCTACGACACTGATATCATGATGATGGCCATCGGCATCACTGTGCTGGTCTGCTTTACAGTCATCGTCTTCTCTCTGCAGGTCAGCGCTCGTCTTCACGTTTTAATAACCAGACACTTTCATTAACTGTTGGATTTCTCTGTCTTTAATTGCAATGTTAATAAAAGTGCTGCAACCAAAAGATTGTCGAAAACATCTGCGCAGTGTTAATCAACGATATACTTTTATAATTTATGTGAATATTTTGAATTGAATTATTTTTCCATTTAATTTATTTTTCTGTAATTTAATTTGTAGTTTTAGTAATTTCTAGTAATTTAGTAATTTAATTTTCTTATTTTTTTAAACAAAATGTCTAAATAGTTTTTATTAATTTTGAATTGAATTATTTTTCCATTTTATTTATTTATTTATTTTTCTTTCATTTAATTTCTAGTTTTAGTAATTTTTAGTAATTTAGTAATTAAATTTTCTTATTTTTTTAAACAAAATGTCTAAATAGTTTTTATTAATTTTGAATTGAATTATTTTTCCATTTTATTTATTTATTTATTTTTCTGTAATTTAATTTCTAGTTTTTAGTAATTTTTAGTAGTCATTTAATTTTCTTATTTTTTTAAACAAAATGTCTAAATAGTTTTTATTAATTTTGAATTGAATTATTTTTTCCATTTTATTTATTTTTCTGTAATTTAATTTGTAGTTTTAGTAATTTTTAGTCATTTAGTCATTTCATCTAAATATTTTTATAAATTTTTATTTATTAGTTTTAATTATTTTTTTATTTTAGTTAAAAATTTTAAGTTTAGTTTATTTAGTTTTAGTTATTTTAGTAGTTAAGGTTAAACAAAATGAAAATGAGAAATGTTTCCTTGGCAACTAGCTGAAATAAATGAAGTTTGAGTTTTTTCATATTTAATTTTATTTCAGTTAACATTTTTTATTTCAAGTGATTAAAAAGTTTTTTTTATGGTTTTAGTTAACCCTGACTTCATAAATATATCTTTTATTATTTTTATATAAATCTTTTATGAATTGTAATGATTTTAGTACAAGTTAAATTAACTGCCAACTATATCATATTTCAATTAAGTGTTATTTTATTCTTAGTAGCGAATGTAGGTTTTTTGATAGTTTAGTTTTAGTTAACAATAATAACCCTGCTCTCCTGCATTGACGTGAAGGGAACAAAGTGCTGAAAGTATTTCTATTGTATTGTTCAGTACTTAAATTCTAGTTATGGACTAACATCTTGTTCAGTAATAAAAGAATCGGAATGAACAAGAGATATGATTCCCATCCCTCATCTACATGAGCTGATATTAATAAACGTCTCCTGTCCAATCACAGACCAGATATGACTTCACTTCCTGTTACGGCGTGCTGTTCGTCTGCTTCATCGTCGTGCTGTTCTTCGGGATCCTGTGCATCTTCCTGTACAACAGGATCCTGGACCTCATCTACGCGTCGCTGGGAGCGCTGATCTTCACCTGCGTAAGTCATCGCTTCGCTACAACACCTTCCTTCAGACCAGTCGATTAAAAGCTCAAAATTAATTAAATCATACAGATGTAAAATTCAAATAAATAATTCTTAAATAAAAACAATAAAAATAAAACACTTGCTAAAATGTATTGAATCAAAATGTAAAATGAAAATAATACATAAATAAATAATTTAAAAAAATAGTAAAAACAAAATTTAATTATAATGTATTGTTAAAATAAGTAATTTAGCAAACAACAAAAAAACTACTGAAATCTATTAAATCATAATGTAAAATAAATAAATGAATAATATATTATTAAAATAATTACTAAACAAGCAAAATAAAACTTTACTACACATTTAAATGAGTAAATAAATGGTTTATTATTAAAATAAATAATTAAAAAAAACAATCAAAATAAAACATTAAAGTCAAAGTCAAAGTCACTTTTATTGTCACATCACCACAGCACATGTGCCTTGGTGAGTGAAATTCTTGGGAGCGTGCTCCAGACAGTGCAGAAACAATTTACATATAAACATACAGACCTCAACAGATGACAATGTGCAATATGCACATACATATAGTCAGTACACACAGTGTACTATTAGACATACTTACAGTTAGCACTACACATTATACACAGTATGTACATGCAGTTAGCAATACACATTTATACACAGTATGTACACATTCTACATTATGTAGACATATATACACAAAATATGCGAAGGTGCAACAGATTATACATTAACTGGATACGCAAAATGTCATGGATGTGCATTGGACGGTATCCAGTGGTAGCAGATAGATTATTGTGTTTAAATGCAGTGTGTATGTATAGTCCAGTATTGAACTGTTGGAGTTAAAGTGCAGTGTGTGGCACAAACCACACAGTTTTTCTAAGTGTCAGTTATAGTAATCATCCTTTTAAGTGGGCCATCAACAACAGGACAGCTGCATCAGTAACATTATTCACATCTGGCACAGCAGCAGAGAGCGCAGTAACGTTATATTTTATTAACGTTTATAACGTTATAAAATATTTTGGAGTTATTGTTCTGAAGTTGGCTTTGTTAAAGTCCCCCGTAACAATAAACGCCGCATCTGGGTAAGCGGTTTCCTGCTCACTTATATTCCCATACAGTTCCTTGAGTGCCTGGTCTGTGTTGGCTTGAGGGGGAATGTAAACAGCTGTGATTATGATCGCTGTAAATTCCCTCGGTAGCCAAAATGGTCGACACAGAAGCATATGAAATTCCAAATCAGGGGAGCAGAAGGATTTAATAGAGTGTAGGTTCCTCTCATCACACCACGAGCGGTTGATAAAGAAACAAACGCCCCCACCTCTGCTTTTCCCTGTGAGCTCTTTTGTTCTGTCCGAGCGGTGCACGGAGAACCCCGTAAGCTCGATGGCTGAGTCTGGAACCTCTGCAGACATCCAGGTTTCTGTGAGGCAAATAATGCAGCAGTCCCTTGTTTCTCGTTGGTATGAGATGCGTGCCTGCAGTTCACAGAGTTTGTTGTCCAGTGACAGAACGTTAGCCACCAAAATGGTTGGGAGAGGAGGTCGGAGGGGACGACGTCTGAGTCTGACAAGGATGCCGGCTCTCTTCCCCCTTTTCGGCGGCGTTTCCTCGGTCGCGACCGTGCGGCCCAGACAAAGGGCTCTGATGCGGTGTCTGTAAACAGAGCGCCGGCGTTCAAGAACTCAAAGTCCGGTTTGCGTTGCGCGACGTAGGAGCCAATGTTTAAAAGCGTGTGTCTATCGTAGACAGTTATACTAACAACATCCAACACGTAGAACAACAAAATAACAAGTAAAACAAACGAAAAACTGCAGAGTTTTCTCGGAGCTCGCAACACGGCTGCCATGCTCGGCGCCATCTTGAACACTTGTCAACATTACTAACAATGTATTCAGTTATAATGTAAAATAAAATTAATTAATTATTATTACAATAAATAAAAAACAATCAAAATAAAACTCTTACTAAAAATGTATTCCATTATAATGCAAGATAAATACGTAATTTATTATTTATATTATTATTGAAACAGATACATTTAAATTAATTAAAATAAAATAAACACAAATGTATTGAATCAAAATGTAAAATAAAAATAATAAATAAATCATTTAAAAAGAATAGTAAAAATGTATTAAATTATGATGTAAAATAATTTATTAAAATAAGTAATTTAACAAACAAAAGAAAACTACTGAAATGTATTAAATCAATGTAAAATAAATAAATGAATAACATATTATTAAAATAATTACTAAACAAGCAAAATAAAACATTACTAAAATATACTAAATCATAATGTAAAAGTAGTAAATAAATGGTTTATTATTAAAATAAATAATTTAAAAAACAATAAAAATAAAACATTACTAACAATGTATTCAGTTATAATGTAAAATAAAATAAATGAATTATTATTACAATAAATAAAAAACAATCAAAATAAAACGTACTAAAAATGTATTCCATTATAATGCAAGATAAATAAATAATTGATTATTTATATTATTATTGAAATCAATAATTTTACAATTTAAATAAACACTGAAATGTTACATTATGATGTAAAATAAATAAATAAATTATTGTTAATATATTATTTTACAACAAAAACACTGAATACTGAATACTAAAAATGTATTAAATTATAATGTCAAATAAATAAATAATTTATTATTAAAATAAATCATTCAAAAAAACAAAAATGTGATAAATTATAATTTTCAGTAAATAATGTATTATTAAAATATATAATAAAAACACTTACTTAAAAATATTTTGTTTGTAAATGTATTGTTAAATGCATTTGATAATAGCTTAAAATCTCAGGGGTACTTCAAGCCAAAAAACGTTTGGGAAGTTGGTGGAAGTTTGTTTGGTCTCGTATGCATCAGAATGAATGAAATAGCGTCTGATTGTGTTGCAGTTCTTGGCCGTGGACGCGCAGCTGCTTCTCGGGAACAAGACTCTGTCCCTGAGTCCCGAGGAACATGTCTTCGCCGCGCTCAACCTGTACCTGGACATCATTCAGATCTTTTTATACATTTTGCGAATCTTTGGAAAAAGCCGTGGCTAAACGTCCACCACGCGACCAATTAAAGATGAAGAGTGGTGTTTCCTTCTGTGTTAAAGGGTTAGTTCACCCAAAAATGAAAATTGCATCAATGCATCCTAGGTGTATATGACTTTCTTCTTTCAGACGAATCCAGTCGGAGTTATAAATCATAATGTTATAAATCATAACTCACCTTGAGGGTGAGTAATTTATGGGCTAATTTTCATTTTTGGGTGAACTAACCCTTTAACAATGCTTTCGTTTCCCACTTTTCATATGCAGAGATGACTGCGATTAAACCGTCCTGTAATATATAGCGTTATATATGAAGCTCTAGAGCTCGTTTTCCTGAGCTGTCAATCAGTGCTATTAATATAATCAAGAGCAAATACACTGATTCATCTGCCACTCTGTTTATGTTATCCGTTCTTCATTTTTATGCATTATATTTTACTTTTAAGAAGGGAATAAAGACTTTTTTATTAACAAATTCACTGTTTTGGACGTTGTTTTCTTACATTCATCTGCAAGGGTCCCATTGATAACATCAGAGTCACGTCTGGTTCTAATTCTTGTGCTTTTATCAGAGACAGAAGTAAATCGGAGGAAAATAACAATAACCATAAACTGTGGCTTGAAATGAACGAGCTGAAAATACTGAAGCAAGTGGCTTGACATCAGCCGAGGGTCTGATCAGTCGAACAGGCAACAAAGGAGATTTTATTCAGACTCCAAAGTGTGTGTTTTTATTTAAAATGGATGAAGAAACATAATTGATGTGCAAAAAATAACTTTGTTTCTGAAATTAGTTTCAGCTAAACGTTTGTAATCTGAAAACTTCAGAATTTAATAAAAAATAACTGCATACAATCAATAATAATAATAATATTTTGGCAGCCTGAATTATATCTTCAAGATGTTCAATATTTTTGTGTAGCTGCTAGTCCTAATTATGTCTTCAAGATGTTCAATATTTTTGTGTAGCTGCTAGTCCAAATTAAAATAAATTAATAAAATAATAATTAATAATAATAATAATAATAATTTGGCACCCTGAATTTTATCTTCAAGATTTTCAACATTTTTGTGTAGCTGCTAGTCCAAATAAATAAATAAATAAAATAATAATAATAATAATAATTTGGCACCCTGAATTTTATCTTCAAGATTTTCAACATTTTTGTGTAGCTGCTAGTCCAAATAAATAAATAAATAAAATAATAATAATAATAATAATTTGGCACCCTGAATTTTATCTTCAAGATTTTCAACATTTTTGTGTAGCTGCTAGTCCAAATAAATAAATAAATAAAATAATAATAATAATAATAATTTGGCACCCTGAATTTTATCTTCAAGATTTTCAACATTTTTGTGTAGCTGCTAGTCCAAATAAATAAATAAATAAAATAATAATAATAATAATAATTTGGCACCCTGAATTTTATCTTCAAGATTTTCAACATTTTTGTGTAGCTGCTAGTCCAAATAAATAAATAAATAAAATAATAATAATAATAATAATTTGGCACCCTGAATTTTATCTTCAAGATTTTCAACATTTTTGTGTAGCTGCTAGTCCAAATAAATAAATAAATAAAATAATAATAATAATAATAATTTGGCACCCTGAATTTTATCTTCAAGATTTTCAACATTTTTGTGTAGCTGCTAGTCCAAATAAATAAATAAATAAAATAATAATAATAATAATAATTTGGCACCCTGAATTTTATCTTCAAGATTTTCAACATTTTTGTGTAGCTGCTAGTCCAAATAAATAAATAAATAAAATAATAATAATAATAATAATTTGGCACCCTGAATTTTATCTTCAAGATTTTCAACATTTTTGTGTAGCTGCTAGTCCAAATAAATAAATAAATAAAATAATAATAATAATAATAATTTGGCACCCTGAATTTTATCTTCAAGATTTTCAACATTTTTGTGTAGCTGCTAGTCCAAATAAATAAATAAATAAAATAATAATAATAATAATAATTTGGCACCCTGAATTTTATCTTCAAGATTTTCAACATTTTTGTGTAGCTGCTAGTCCAAATAAATAAATAAATAAAATAATAATAATAATAATAATTTGGCACCCTGAATTTTATCTTCAAGATTTTCAACATTTTTGTGTAGCTGCTAGTCCAAATAAATAAATAAATAAAATAATAATAATAATAATAATTTGGCACCCTGAATTTTATCTTCAAGATTTTCAACATTTTTGTGTAGCTGCTAGTCCAAATAAATAAATAAATAAAATAATAATAATAATAATAATTTGGCACCCTGAATTTTATCTTCAAGATTTTCAACATTTTTGTGTAGCTGCTAGTCCAAATAAATAAATAAATAAAATAATAATAATAATAATAATTTGGCACCCTGAATTTTATCTTCAAGATTTTCAACATTTTTGTGTAGCTGCTAGTCCAAATAAATAAATAAATAAAATAATAATAATAATAATAATTTGGCACCCTGAATTTTATCTTCAAGATTTTCAACATTTTTGTGTAGCTGCTAGTCCAAATAAATAAATAAATAAAATAATAATAATAATAATAATTTGGCACCCTGAATTTTATCTTCAAGATTTTCAACATTTTTGTGTAGCTGCTAGTCCAAATAAATAAATAAATAAAATAATAATAATAATAATAATTTGGCACCCTGAATTTTATCTTCAAGATTTTCAACATTTTTGTGTAGCTGCTAGTCCAAATAAATAAATAAATAAAATAATAATAATAATAATAATTTGGCACCCTGAATTTTATCTTCAAGATTTTCAACATTTTTGTGTAGCTGCTAGTCCAAATAAATAAATAAATAAAATAATAATAATAATAATAATTTGGCACCCTGAATTTTATCTTCAAGATTTTCAACATTTTTGTGTAGCTGCTAGTCCAAATAAATAAATAAATAAAATAATAATAATAATAATAATTTGGCACCCTGAATTTTATCTTCAAGATTTTCAACATTTTTGTGTAGCTGCTAGTCCAAATAAATAAATAAATAAAATAATAATAATAATAATAATTTGGCACCCTGAATTTTATCTTCAAGATTTTCAACATTTTTGTGTAGCTGCTAGTCCAAATAAATAAATAAATAAAATAATAATAATAATAATAATTTGGCACCCTGAATTTTATCTTCAAGATTTTCAACATTTTTGTGTAGCTGCTAGTCCAAATAAATAAATAAATAAAATAATAATAATAATAATAATTTGGCACCCTGAATTTTATCTTCAAGATTTTCAACATTTTTGTGTAGCTGCTAGTCAAAAAAAATAAAAAATAAATAATAATAATAATAATAAAAAATAATAATAATAATTTTGGCAGCCTGAATTATATCTTCAAGATGTTCAATATTTTTGTGTAGCTGCTAGTCCAAATAAATAAATAAGTAAAATAATAATAATAATTTTGGCAGCCTGAATTATATCTTCAAGATGTTCAATATTTTTGTGTAGCTGCTAGTCCAAATAAATAAATAAGTAAAATAATAATAATAATTTTGGCAGCCTGAATTATATCTTCAAGATGTTCAATATTTTTGTGTAGCTGCTAGTCCAAATAAATAAATAAGTAAAATAATAATAATAATTTTGGCAGCCTGAATTATATCTTCAAGATGTTCAATATTTTTGTGTAGCTGCTAGTCCAAATAAATAAATAAGTAAAATAATAATAATAATAATATTTATTATTACAGCTAAACGTTTGTAATCTGAAAACATAATTTAATAATAATAACTGAATAAAATCAATAATAATAATAATAATAAAATTTTGGCAGCCTGAATTATATCTTCAAGATTTTCTATATTTTTGTGTAGCTGCTAGTCCAAATGAAAATAAATAAATACTTTTATATATTCAATTAAGTTTTCAAGACCGTTTAGTTGCTAGTCCATCAGCTAAAATGGGCCACTTTTTTTTTTATAAAGCTAAAACTTTATAAACAGATAACTTTACAAATTTACATTTTATAAACTTTAACAGATATTTGTTGACTCCCTTCTTTACAAGTGTTAAAATAATATTGAGAAAATGTAAATTGAAGCTTGGAGATGTCAACATGTTTATATTGTATGAATGCAGTAAAACCAACAAATCGCTCATAAACATTTTATAATGATAAATTATATAAAGATTAACTGCATTTTTGTTGATATATTGCTAAGACGCAATTAATATTTGTATAATATGTTATATATTAATATTTATATAATATATGATGTAGCTTTTTTACCTTTTTCATCAAAAAAAAAAAAATAACGGAATGAAGATCAGTCTGGACAAAGTTCAGAGATATTTTAATGCTTCTCTACGTGATTCACCAAACAGTAGCTGGTTTTATCTGAATTCACAGCACAGGGGTCTCCGGGGCCCCAAACATCCAGGAACTGAAGGGCTTTGCAGAGGCGCGCGCGTGAAGTGTGCGTTAGTAATGCAAAGTCCGATTCATTTCCGCGAACCGGTTCTTTTTGGACAGTTCGGCTCATTGAACCAGTTCAAAAAGCTGATTCATCGGTTCCTGACGTCATCAAGCAGTGACGTCACTACGCATTTCTTTTCTAACAACTCCATGCCATGTTGTATCATTGAAACATTCAAAAAGTATAAAGAAAGAATAAACCTGTCTTATAAACTCCTTGATTTCGCTTAAACAACTTAAAACATGATCTGCATGCACAATAAACCGTGCTAAAATTCAGGTTTTGCCATGTTTTAATAAAAATCCGGGGCTTTTTAATAAAATGATTCATAAGCATATCTCCAGTTGCCTATATTTTGTTTGTTATCAATAAAACTTTACGCATCAGGCTCGTTCAAGTCCTCGGGGATACACATGCAGTGCAACTCGCTTGTCAGAATCCTCGGCAATCCTCTGCAAACTTTGACGGTTATTTGAACCGGCTCATTCGGTTCATTTTGAATCCTCGGCAACCTTCAACGGTTATTTGAACCGGCTCATTCGGTTCGTTTTGATTACTCGGCAACCTTCAACGGTTATTTGAACCGGCTCATTCGTTTCATTTTGAGTCCTCGGCAATCCTCAGCAA